TTTTTCTTATCTTTTCATTATTATTGTTATTGTGATTATCATTATTATTATTGTTGTTATTATGTATTATTATTATTATTATCATCATCATTATTATCATCATCATCATCATCATCATCATCATCATTATCATCATCATCATCATCATCACATATCAATCATTATCATGGTTAACTTTTTTACACTGGAGGTCATTAATGGGAATTTTTGAACTGTCATTAACTTTATCATTTCCATTATCAAGACTAGCAGTAATATTCACAAATTATTGCAATTCTCATACCATCACCATTCTTGTCGTCACCACCAATGTCACCAAATATCTCTCTTTCTCATCACTATTATTATTAACACAAATATTATTAACATTACCGTTATCACCATTAATTCTCCCACTACCACTACTGTCTCCAAACGCACCATGGTCATATCATCACCATCAGAACCACTGTCATCATCAAAACCACAATCATCGCCATAACCATTATCACCACCATACCCACAATCACCACCATAACCACTATCACCATAACCACTATCACCACCATAACCACTATCACCACCATACCCACAGTCACCACCATAATCACTATCAACACCATAACCACTATCACCACCATACTCACAATCACCACCATAACCACTATCAACACCATACCCACAATCACCACCATAACCACTAAAATCACTAAAACCACTGTCACCACCACTATCAACAAAGTCACAACCTCTTTTACCAGTCTCACCTAACCCCCTATCACAACTATCCTTGTCATCACAACCACACAGATTTTACGTTCACTGTCACCGCTATCATCACCATTATTGTCACCATCTCACTGTAACAGCCATCATCACCATCACCATCTCTGCCGCCAGCCCCACCACCCCTATCACCTCCATTAATAACCCTACAACTCTTGTCATCAACCCCACCACCCCATGCCTCTCCCCACCCTCTAAGCCTCCAACACCTTTCCCTCTCACCAACCCTCACCTCCCTCTCACACCACCCTCCCCTCACCCACCCCCACCTCCACCATCAACCCCACCCCACTACTCTACCACCCCTCTCTCCTCACCCCCCCACCACCCCTCTCTCCCTCTCACCCTTACCATTAAAACCACCCACCCCATCTCCATTTACCCCACTCATCCTCCCCACCCCCCACCCCATTCACCCCTCTCCACCCCACCTCCACTTACACCCACTCATCCTCCCCACCCACACCCAGCCTTTCCCCACCACCCACCACCCACCCCTTCCCACCCCACCCACACCCTTCCCTCTCACCCCCCACCACGTCTACCACCCATCCCTCACCCTCCCCACCCATCCCACCAACCCACACTCTTCCCTCTCCCCCACCCAACCAACACCCTTTACCCACAGACCACCCAAACCCATCCCTCTCACCCCCCAGCCACCCCCCCATCACCGCCCCATCCACCTTCTCACCTTTCTCACCACACCCTTCCCTCTCCACCCCACCCACCCACCTTCTCACCCACACCACCCACCCCCCTTCTCACCCCCAACCAACCCAAAAACCGTTCCCTCTCACCCCCACCAGAATCCCACCCACACACTCCCACCACTCACCCCCCTTTCTCACCCCCACCATCCCACACCCCACACCCATCCCCTCTCACCCCCCCACCCACCACCCCCACCAACCCACCCCCCTTCTCACCCACACCCACCCCCCTTCTCACCCTTCCCCCTTCCCGACAGATCGGTGAGCACCATTCGAGGAGGCGAATCGAGTGCGTCAGGTGCTGGCGCCCTCTTCTGTCCCAGGTGGCGAACCGGTCGGTGGACTTGCTCACCCCGTCGGCAGTACAGGCGGCTCGTCATCGGCGTCCAGCTGATCAAGGATCCACTGAGTTGGTTGGTGGAGAGGGGGTGGGGTTGGTAGTGGTAGTAAATAGCAGTAGAAGTAGTAGTAGTCGTAATAGTTGTATCCACGTGAGTTGGTTGGTGGGGGGGGTGGTGGTTGGGAGTGGGGGTGGTTGTGGTAGTAGTGGTTGTAGCAATAGCAGTAGAAGTGGTAAGAGTAGTAAGTAATGTGGTTGTTGCGTGTGCGTAGTAGTAAGTAATAGCAATAGAGGTAGGGTAGTAGTAGTAGAAGTGTAGTTGTAGTAGCTGAAAGAAGGGCTAAGTAGTAAAGTAGTAAAGTAGATAGTAGTATTAGTAGTAGCAGTAGAAGTAGTAGTATTAGTAGTAATTTCAGGCAGTAGTAGTAATAGTAGCCAGCAGTAGTAGTAGAAATAACAGTAGAATAGTAATTGTAGTGGCAAGTAACAGGTAGTAGTATAAGAACAGCAGTAGGAGAAGTGGTAGTAGTAAAATTAGTAACTGAAGTAGTATTAGTAGTAATTTCAGCAGTAGTAGTAGTAGCAGCAGCAGTAGAAGTAGTAGAAATAGCAGTAGAAGTAGTAATTGTAGTGGCAGTAGCAGTAGTAGTAGTAATAACAGCAGTAACAGAAGTGGTAGTAGTAAAAGTAACAGAAGTAGTAGTAGTAGTAGTAGTAACAGTAGAAGTAGTAATAGTGGTAGTAGCAGAAGTAGTAATAGTGGTGTTCTTGTAGTAGCAGTTGTTGTTGTAGTAGTTCCTGTCGTTGTTGGTGGTGGCAATGTTATTAGCGTTGTTAAAATCATTTCTTATTGACACCAAGGTCCCGGTAGTAGAAGAAATGATATAAAATAGTGATAATAGGAATATTATATATTTATAATTATATTATAAAAATTATAATATAAAAATATTATAAAAATGATTAATAAAGTCAATTTATTATTAAAGAGCCAATTTTCTTTCATTATCATCAATCATCATCATCATCACTATTATCATTATTATATCAATTATCATTACCATTATCACACACACACAACACAACACAACACACACCACAGAAAAAAGCCAAAAAATCACCCATTATGCGCACACAAAACAACGAAGGAAAGAACAAGTAATTAAAAAATACGTGTTCTCTCCTCCCGTGTTTTATTCACAAGTCGTTCATCGCGAATCCTATAACCTATAAGCTACAACCTATAACAAATAACCTACGGTCTGTATAACCTATAACCTACAGAATATAATCTATAACATACAACCTATAACAAACAACATATAATCTATAAACTATAACACAAAATATATTCTATAACACAACTTATAACCTATAACAAATAACCTATAACACAAAATATATTCTATAACATACAACTTATAATCTACAACCTATAAAAAAATAACCTACAATCTAAAACCACGTATAACTTACAACCAATACACTATAACCTAAACCTACAACGAATAATCTATATCCTATAAACTACTCATAACCTACAATCTATATCCAATCATCTACAACCTGTATCCTACATCCTACAGCAAATAATCTGTAACTTATCCCCTACATATAACCTACAACCTACAACAAATCATCTACAACCAATAATCCTACAACCTACAACAAATCATACTACAACCAATAATCCACAACCTACACCAAATCATCTACAACCAATAATCCTACAACCTACAACAAATCTACAACCAATAATCCTACAACCTACACCAAATCATCTACAACTATAACCAATAATCCTACAACCTACAAATCATCTACAACCTACAACAAATCATCTACAACCAATAATCCTACAACCTACAACCCATAACTTTCAGTCGTGCTCCTGCTGGACGAACCCGCGTGGGGCCTCGATCCCCTCAATACCTACTTCGTCATCTCGATCCTGAGCAACCACGCCAAGAAATACAACCGCATTATTCTCGTCACGATGGAGAAGCCAAGGTGAGTGTGGGGTGGGGTGGAGGGGGGGGGGGGGGGGGGAGGGGAGAGGGAGGGATGGAGGGGTGGAGGAAGGGTGGAGGGGAGTGGGAGAGGGAAGGGTGGAGGGGAGAGGGAGAGGGGGGGGTGGAGGGGAGAGGGAAGGGAGGGGTGGACGGGAGAGGTGGGGGGAGAGGTGGGGTGGACGGGAGAGGAGAGGGAGGGGAGGGGAGAGGAGAGGGATGGGGGTGGAGGGGAGAGGAAAGGAGGGGTGGAGGGAGAGGAAGAGGGAGGGGGGTGGAGGGGAGAGGGAGACGGAGGGGTGGAGGGGAGAGGAAGAGGGAGGGGTGGAGGGAGAGGGAGAGGGGGTGGTGGACGGGAGATGGAGAGGGGGGTGGAGGGGAGAGGGAAGAGGGGAGGGAGAGGAGGGGGTGGAGGGAGAGGAAGAGGCGGGAGAGGGAGGAGGGGGTGGAGGGAAGAGGAAGGGAGGGGAAGGAGGAGGGGTGAGGGAAGGGAGGAGGTTGGAGGGAGAAGAGGAGGGAGGAGGAGAGGAGGGGTGGAGGGGGAGAGGGAGAGGGAGCGGAGAGGAGGGAGAAGAGGAGCGGGGGAGAGGGGTCGGATGGGAATGAGGGGAGGGAAAGGTAAGTGATGGGATGAAGGTAGGATGGGGGATGGGGCGAGGGAAGTTTGGGGGGAAGGGAGAGAGAAGAGAGAAGAAGAGACAGAGAGAGACTGACAGACAGACAGAAAAAGACAGATTGACGCAGAAAGAACAGACACACATACACACAAGAAAAAAAAAATCACCCTCTAACATAAAAGAAGAAAAGAAAAAAGAAAAAGAAAGCCAAAAACCATCCAATTCCCCCCCAACTCATATACCTCCTTCCTTATCTCCTTTTATCTCCTTCCTCAGATCGGACATCATGCCCTTTCTAGACCGCGTGAGCTACCTGTGCCTCGGTGACGTCGTCTACACAGGCTCCACGCGGCTTATGATCGACTACTTCAGGAGCATCGGATTCCCTTGCCCCGAGCTCGAGAACCCGCTTATGTACTACCGTAAGTAGGCTTTTCGTGAAACAGCTGTAGAGGATTTTGTTTGTTTATATTTTATTTCATTTCATCTATTAGGCACTGAGACTTTATTGTTGTTGAGGTTTTGAGGTTTTGGAAACATGGGTATATGCATGTATATATGTGTATGTCCTTGTAGCTATAAATATTGTTTTGGGCTGTATTCATAAGCATTACGTAGTGTCCTTGTCTCCTCTTGCCGTTTTGGTATATTGACAGTTTTGGGGGGTTATTTATGAAAGGAAGATATAATTCATACTACAATGCACACAGGATGATTACACCAACACACGTTCTGTAAATACTACAAATAGAAAATTGGAAAACAATCACAACTCGCTATGTAAACGTATTGATGTCAGAGACCAAGAATTAACGTACAGTAATGCTTATGATAAAAATAATTATTGTAATTAATGATGATGATGGTGATAATGAGAATAGTGACAATAATAATAATAATAGTAATAATAATAATAACAATAATAGTAATGATAATAATAATGATGATAATCGATAACCATAATGATAACGATATGTATAACAACAATAGTAATGATAATGATGATAATAATAATGGCAACAGTAGTAGTAGTAGTAGTAGTAGTAGTAATGGTAGTAGTAATAATAAACCATCTAACCCCCAGTGTGTCTATCGACGGTTGACCGGCGCTCGCGAGAACGCTTCATCGATTCGAACAACCAGATCGCGGCTTTGGTCGAGAAGTTCAAACTGGAGGGCGGCCCTTATCGCAAATATTCCGGTCCGCCGCCGGATATGGATCACTCAGAACACAAAGTCCCCTTGTCGGCTTACGGAAGACCGAGTGTGTTTTCCGCCATGACGGCTATATTCGGGTGTGTTGCTTGCACGCATTCGGACACACTGTGCTGTCCTTTAACTTAGGGGCGCATTTAGGAGAAACTTTTATATAGATCACTTGCTTTAGGGTGATCGAAAACAACTAATAAATGACTGTTTTTTTCCTCGATAATCATGATGATAACGACGAAAACCAATAAGCAAGCTTTGTAATTCATTAATATTAAGCAGCCTTTCATATTCATCAGAAAGCATTGTGCAACCTCTAAGCATGCACATATTCACATTGCCCAGAAAGACTCATTCCCTTATGGAATAGCCACCGTAGACAAAGACGAAGCCAAGATCTTATTCTAATACCACACGTATTCTCCCAATTGGCAGACGAGCGTTTACCATGATGTCTCCCTGTAGTTATATGGGGATCCAGCAGCTGTTTTTCAGACTGCTCATGTTGCCTGCGTTCTTCTTCCTTTTGTGGAACTTCTATTGGGAAATTGAGGTAAGTTGATGTAATGATTTGGCAAGTGGTTCATGTTTATTGTATTTTTTTAACACGGGTGTACGCATTGCAGAGTACCACCACAGTGCACGCATATAGGGAATACCCATAAACAATAAATATGCTGTATGTTATAGACAAAGAAACATACAAACAAGACAAAACGAAAAACAATTACGATGAAGAAAAACTAATTCGTATCTACAGCATTTAATTTTTTACCCTCTATTCTTTAGGACTACCAGCGCTCCTTCCAGAGTAGAGGCGGTCTTATCTTCAACTGTGTAGCTGGAACTGCTTATCTTGCTACAGCTGCTACCTCAAAAACATGTAAGTTCTTTCTATTTTTTTGTAAAGAACTGTTATATTTTTCGTAATATTTTATTCTTTATTATCTAAAGACTGGTTAATTTCTCGAAGTAGGCGGCCATTTTCATTACTCTCAACTCGGTTGTTCAGTTACTAATAACGTTTGTTGATTTATCTTTAAATATCCAAATCACTATCACCACCAAACTCAACACAGCAATGTAGCTTTATATCAAATATCTCTTGTTGTAATTACTCATATACATACATTTCTTATATATACAAGTGTATGTTACTATACTAATGGGTAATATGAGCATAATCAGGGACATAGAGTGCTAAAGCCTTCATATCAACACAACAATGTAGCTTTATATCAAATACCTCTTGTTGTAATTACTCATATACATACATTTCTTATATATACAAGTGTATAAACATACATACATAATCAGGGACATGTACTATACAGAGGCATGGGGCTCAGAGTGCTAAAGCTTTTATAACAAGGGATCTAACTTTCCGTTTTCCTCCCGCCACCAGTCGCTCAGCACCGCACACGGTATTACCACGAGGCTCGGGAAGGCCTGTATCGAGGGCCGCTCTTCATCACCACCTACAACCTGTTCTCCTTACCTGTATCGTACATCAACGTCATGGCTGCCTCCGCTATAGTCTTCTTGTAAGTGTGGCTGGGAGAAAGGGGGGATTGGGTGAGGGAGTGAGAGTTGATGGGGTCTTTATGGGAGGGGGAGAGAACGAGTGAAAGGGAGAAGAGAGAAAAGGCGAGAGCGGGAAGGGAAGGGTAGAGAGTGAGGAAGGAAAGGTAAGGACTTTCGTTATTCATTTGTTTAATCCCCAACTTCAGTTTTCATTGTTCAATAGTAAAAGGTAGAACTGCATCTCAACACCATGGCTAACAAGCCTAAAAGTGTGTATGTGTGAGACACTCAGAAAATAATTATGATGCTAGTAGTAATACTGATAAATAAGGATGATTACAATGTGGATAATTATGATAATCATGACGATAACGACAACCAATGACCTCCCTCTTATTTCCAAAGTGGCCTCGGACTCGGGGACACAGCAGTCCAGGGTCCGGACTGGATGGGCTGGCTGATCTTCGGGTCGGTGTTATGGGCGGTTTGGGCATTCGTGGAGCAACAGACCGTCGCCCTTATGATGGTCGTCAAATCGTCCTATAGTGCTGCCGCTGCCTCGATAGCGCTCACGACTTTCTACCTCCTTGTGGCTTCGGCGACGCTAAGGTGAGTTCCATGGGGCGACAGTTGGAACAGATTGCTTTTCTTCGTTTTATTTTCTTTGATTTAGTAATTATTAATGTTAATGGATTATGAATATACGTTGGCACTGTTAGGCCAATAACAAGTGAAAATATACAGGTGTTGAGGTTAATGGTTAAAACAAGTAAACCTCGTGTTTCTCTGTCACAGGTCGCTCGTGGGATTACCCGACTGGCTGTACTACCTCAGCCACGTGATCGTATACCGCTACGTCGCCGCCGTCCTGCACGAACAGACCTTCCTCGACAAGCTGCCCAATCTCCCCGTCAACGCCACCTCCGTTTGCCCCGATAACAACGCCGAGTACGGATGCCGATACCGCAACGGAACCTACTACCTGCTCGAGCGCTACCACTTCCCTCAGAACGGCCTTGACCTCGGCCGCCAGGACCTCGATCTGTGGTCCAACTTCGGCCTCTCCTTCGCCTTCTTCGGGGGGATGTTGACGCTCAACCTCATCCTGTACTTGGTGCCGCTCCCTGCATTCATCAAATCCAAATTTAGGGACTGATTTGTTTTCCTTTTCCTATTTTGGCATTTACTCTTTTTCCGGGTGAACATGTGGCAAGATTATCCATAGCAGGAGTGGATGTAGTTACAAATGTGTCCCTGACTTAATCTTATGGCGCGGTTATTAGATCACCCGTAGTTATATGATAATGCAGTAACGTTATTAATGTAAGTACATACTCATTATCAGTAAGCGCAGTAAGGGTTTCTGTAACAGTGACCTACCATATATGTGTAAAAAATGAAACAGCGCCATCTCATTTATGTCCATGAGGGAATGTGCAATAAAGTTCTCTTTTTGGTTTAATATTTCCAATTTATATAAAGATGTTCGATGCTCTGGTTTTATAATCCCTCCATAAAGGATTTAGTCAAAGAGAATCTGAAGTGCAGGTAAAAGTTAAACCCTCAGACTGAGAGCTCAAGTCAGTGGTACAGTTGTAACTATTTCGTGTCGTGACTTACGTCTTTCTTTGTGTACAGTATTAGCTACAGATTTATCATCACTGGATTTATTTATTGTTGTGAACGTTTCCTGTCCATATTTATGACGACTATTTCAGCACCATTCATCTTTATCCGCGGGGAATTGTGTGATAGTGTAATTTAAGCTCTCAGCTTTAATCACAATAAAATGTTTTAGTATTCTTTTATTTTCATTACCTTTACAAGCTCATTGTCAGTCGAGTTTCTTAGTGGGAGATTCTTATATAAATAAGTAGACTATAGTATTTATTGGAACTGTTTCAGGAAATTTATTCCTCAAATATTTCATTTTCCAACAAATTTTACTTGGTTTTCCAGGTACATTTCTAACATTTATTGTTTTTTATATATTATATATAATTTCATTCTGCAAGGTCTACAGATATACATTCAGAACATCTCACTTCTATTATGTCCATTTTCATGTTGATATTCATTCGAAAGTGTCCATGGTGGCCTAAAGTTGATGCATCTAAAATGGGACAAACGTTCTGATATCTTCAGTTACTGCTAACCAACACATTAGTGTAGTTCTACAAAAAAAATATATATATAAGGGGTAGATAACCTACACTTAACGCCACGTCCATGTGAGGGGCAGAGCACACGCAACAATGATCATATATCGCTGGATTCTTGAGCAGTTTTATCAGATAAAGTAGTTCCCATGGGCAGGCTTTGGCCATTACAGATGTTTGTTGCGGTCCACATGAGAGTCCGGTATGGGCAATTTGTTGGTTTGCCAAAATTTCCTGAACTATAATGTGATCTTCAGAAATGCCCATCACCCACCTTCCAAATGTGTGAAATGGAACACAATTTGGTGATTTTTTTTTTTGCCCATAAGAGCACTGCCTCTTGAATAGCCACAGCTTGAAGTACTATAGTTGGCTTTGATAATGCTTGTTACTTTGGCATATGTCTGTTCTAATAGTATTTGTAAAACATACTGACACTAACAGTAATAATACTCATGCATATATTGCAACTTCTACAAACATACTTGACTGAGAAAAGGCATTTTGAAACAAGTTTTATACTACATATAATCTTTTGAAGACATAATGGTATACTGATGAAAAAAACAGACAATATTAAGGAAACTGAATTTAATAGGACCGAAATAAAAAAGGAATAAAGTACATTTGATACACACAATATACTACATTTTATGAAAAAATAAAAATTGTGGCACGTTGTACAATGCAAGTATGAAAAGTAATTTATGAATCTGTATCAAAAATTATTTTTCACAAACATCATGTACAAAATTCCTTACACAGCCATAATGCTGGATCAACTGCTTGAGCATGCAAGCTAGTATATATAGTTTCTTCAGTCTGTGACTTTGCTTTAACAAATTATATTAATGCTTATTTAATCTTTGATTACCAATCTACAATTGCCTATTAACAAAGATAGTTCCAAAAAGACCAAAGAAAACTTTAAGAATAAAAAATATTCATATATCAAAAATGACTTTTGGATATGTAAATATTTACATCCTGAACTCCCAACAAATCTTGCAAAAGGATGACCTTTAATTATTTTTTAATATACACCTACACATCATATAATGTAATACAATCTAAAATTGTTACAGCTGTATACAAACTACCTGAATTATATATGGAGTAAAATACAGTTCAATCCCCAAATCATTTTACAATAAAATAGTGAAGCAGAAGCCACATCTTGTGTAAAAACAAAAATGCTTGTTCCACTGTGCAACAAATCCGCTGAGAAAAATACATTATACATTTATGGATATGTATATGAAAATTTCTTTCCCATTCCAAACTTCTTTTCGTTTGTTAGTTTTTCTTTTAGCTTTGGCATTTCCTAGCCAAATATACCTTTTCCTATGCCTTATTCCTTAACCCTAAGAAGTAGGACACTAAAATACTTTCTCATATACCAAAAGATGTTATATTTCCAATAATGGTACAGCATATCCCTAATAGCACTGAATATCCTTTAAAGATATAGCTAATCTCACTGGGTACCAGAGGGTCTGTGAAAAGAGATATAAGGCAATTAGAAATAATCACATAGTTTATCTATTAATATCACTAATACAAAATTACCAGAAATATTTCAGTAATAATATAATCATATTCAATACAATACAAAAAAAATAATAATAATAAATAAATAAATAAATAAATAAATAAAATACATTGTAGCAAACATATAACTTAAAAAACAAAATAAACTTACTTGGCCCATTCAACGCTCAGAATCAGATGGTCATAACCATATCCATTAAGAACTTGTATAGCCTTAGCAGCATCTTCCCGTCTCTGGTGAAGAGAAATTTTTGATTGATTTGATTGCCACATCAAAACTTTTGAGTCATATAGCACAGGTTTGTTTGTATTTTCAAAATTTAGGGGAGAAATGGGGAAATATTTAAAGGGAAAAGGGAGAGGAGTAAACCAAAAGGATTGGAGAGTCAAGTTAGTACACGAGAACATAGAAGCTAGACAAAAAAGAAAGAAGCAAAAAAAGGGTGGTGAAAGTTATATATTAGCCATCATCACCCTCCAAGAACAAAGATAAAAGTCTCACCTTGAAATTGATGAAAGCAAAGCCCTTGGACTGGCCAGTGTTCTTGTCCTTGGCCAAGAAGATACGGCTGATGTCTCCGAAGGGGCGGAACAGATCCTGCAAATCCTGTTCTCTGGTGTTCTCCGAGAGGTTGGTCACACGCACAGTGGCAGTCTCGTCTGTGGGAAAACATATTTGTTTGAAATCACAATTCTCATTTTGAGTAACATTCAGAATAATGTTATACGTAATTATAATTGGATAAAGAATATTACTAAAACATCAACCATCAAAACACATCTTCACAACAGTAAATCCAGGAAAATCTATTCAATCCAAGCTAAAATACAAAACTTGTATACCAAACATTCTTAACCCACTCACGCCGGGTACATTTTGTAGCCAAAATTTAAAAAATCCGGGCGGCTACAAAATCGGCGGGCGTAGCCAAACAATTACTTAAAATCTTCAAATCTTCCCTGTGTCTCACTGGGTGCCACTGGTATACCAAACACATTCTTAAAATCTCTCAAATCTTACCCCTGCCACGAGATGACATCATAGACTCTCCCTTCTTGGAACCTCCGTCCCTCATAGATGGTGGGATGTATTTGCCCTGTGTCACACCACCGATCTTGGGCTTCTCTGCTGGGGTGGCCTGGGCTGGGGTCTCTTCCTCCGCTGCCTCTTCTCCCTAAAACAGAGGTAAAAGGGGTAATGTCATAGTTCCTCAATCCTTGTTCTTGAATTAGCAGCTTAATCCAAACTTCCCTTTTTTGTAGACTACATAACAACAATTTCCTTAACATTAATTTAAAAAATCAAAAACATAACTTCACTTCCAAGCTCTGTAAAGCAATAAAGATTAAGAAAAAAAAAAAAAAAACTCTTGAACACCTTTCCTGTCATGCCATCACCCCTGACAAAACTTTTACACGGAACAAATTGACACCATTTACATTACCATAATAAGAGAAATGATAATGATAATAAAAAATAATGATGGTTCTTTCGCTCTCACCAGTAGGGATGATCGCAGGGGCTCCAGCTTGTCCTTGTAGGGGCACTGCTTGGTCCAATGGTCTTCCTTGCAGAGACGGCACTTCACTTGGCCCTTCTGCTGGTCCAGCAGTTTCTTCTTAATCTCCTCCTGTTCATTCTGCTCCTCGTCTTTGTTGCTCAGGAACTGGGGATGGCAAAGGAAGAGTCAGAAAAGTTATGCATCGTCACTGGAGCAATTTTTAAATATTTTTTTGCCAATATCACTAGCTTAATTATAACTTAACTACAACTTGAAAGGGGTACCAAGTTATAATAATTCTGCAACATCCATAGAATAGTATAAAAAATTTCATGGCTCTGAAAATGTCCTCCCTAAACTTTTCACAAACTTCCCAACAACATACGTGCATGAAGACGTCCTCAGCCGTGATTGTAGTGGCTGGGTTTGGTCCAGGTTTGTCATTCTTGCTCAACCCATATTTGCGCCAAGTCTTCCTCTCCGCAATGGTTCTGGCCACACGGTGCTTTTCAATGCGGTAGTAGCTGATAATCTGTGGGAGGACAGAGTATGATTCTAGTTATGAGCATATATTTTTCTTGTCTTTTCTTTTTTCTCTACTTGGAGCCAAAATATGAAAAAAAAAATTTCTAAAATGTTGTTCTAATATCTTATTTGCAGCAACTATGGAATTCTCGTTTAAGTAAACACTACATAAAATAACAAAATGAAATAGAAAATTATCTGAAATTAATATCAAGTGTATGTCCCTTTTACAGACAATAATAAATTGGTACAATATTTTCCATTTCTGATTGATATGAAATGATAAGATTCTCAACTCAACCCAGCAAAATAAAAATTCTAAAAATATACTTAACACAAACTTTGAAACTAAATGGCTGGTCAAATCATTACCCTATTAACTATCGAGTAACAAAGTTACTAACTAAAATACCTCTTACCAATGGAAAGTAATCTGTATGAAAACCAATATCTTCTGTTATGTTATATGAATTAGGCATAAACTAATTAATGTTCCTTTCCTGAACTGCCATCCAATAAACTGCCAACAAAACATGTGATACGTGCATTTCACTCGAAAGATGCAAGTCCCATATATTATGATATCGAAGAAATTAGCTAAATCACAATGTACATAAAAATCGTTATAATCATCATTTCATTAGCCTTTAAAGGAAAATTTTTATTCCAATAATGGCCAAGCAAATTCTAAAAAAGTTTGAACACCCATTGGAATCTGCATTGCACTGACCCCCCCAAAAAAAACACATACTGCAAATTGTTAGAATGTCATTCTTAATTTTCAAAACCAGGCTAGCATCAGTTATTCCAGTTATCAGTGTATGTAATTTGAGCATTATTTATCTTTGTTCCTATTACAGAGCTTAAAACCAATACAGTGCTATAAACCTGCAAATAGACTGTCACAGGCTATGTAAATGAACCTACAAATACTTTTTTTTTCTAATAAATATAATGGACATTTTCCAAATTAGATTAAAGTAAAAGTTCCTATTAAAAAATACACTCTGCAACTGCCTATTCTCCAAACTGCTATCACAGAGAACTTATACTTATACTTTTCC